CCTCCGTGATGCCCCTTTGATGACCTGAGATGACCACTAAAGACCCTCCGTGATGCCCCTTTGATGACCTGAGATGACCACTAAAGACCCTCCGTGATGCCCCTTTGATGACTTGAGATTGCCACTAAAAACCCTCCTTGATGTCCCTTTGATGACCCTTAAAGATCCTCCTTGATGACCCCTAAAGCCCCTCCTTGATGGCCCCTATGATGACCTGAGATGACCCTTAAAGACCCTCTTTGATGCCCCTTTGATGACCACTAAAGACCCTCCTTGATGCCCACTTGGATGACCTGTGATGACCCCTAAAGACCCTCCTTGATGCCCCTTTGTTGACCTGAGATGACCCCAAAAGACCTTCTTTGATGCCCCTTTGATGTCTTGAGATGTTCCCTCAAGACCCTCCTTGATGTCCCTTTGATGATCTAAGGTGACCCCAAAAGACCATCCTTGATGCCCCTGAAGACCTGAGATGACCCTTAAAGACCCTCCGTGATGCCCCTTTGATGACCTGAGATGACCACTAAAGACCCTCCGTGATGCCCCTTTGATGACCTGAGATTGCCACTAAAAACCCTCCTTGATGTCCCTTTGATGACCCTTAAAGATCCTCCTTGATGACCCCAAAAGACCCTCCTTGATGCCCCTTTGATGACCTGAGATGACCCCTAAAGACCCTCTTTGATGACCTCAGATGACCCTTAAAGACCCTCTTTGATGCCCCTTTGATGACCACTAAAGACCCTCCTTGATGCCCCTTTGGTGACCTGAGATGACCCTTAAAGACCATCCTTGATGCCCCTTTGTTGACCTGAGATGACCCTTAAAGACCATCCTTGATGCCCCTTTGTTGACCTGAGATGACTCCTAAAAACCCACCTTGATGCCCCTTTGGTGACCTGAGATGACTCCTAAAGACCCTCTTTGATGACCTCAGATGACCCTTAAAGACCCTCTTTGATGCCCCTTTGATGACCACTAAAGACCCTCCTTGATGCCCCTTTGGTGACCTGAGATGACCCTTAAAGACCATCCTTGATGCCCCTTTGTTGACCTGAGATGACCCTTAAAGACCATCCTTGATGCCCCTTTGGTGACCTGAGATGACTCCTAAAGACCCTCTTTGATGACCTGAGATGACCCTTAAAGATCCTCCTTGATGACTCCTAAAGACCCTCCTTGATGCCTCTTTGATGACCTGACATGACCTTTAAAGATCCTCCTTGATGCCCCTTTGGTGACCTGAGATGACCCTTAAAGACCATCCTTGATGCCCCTTTGTTGACCTGAGATGACCCTTAAAGACCATCCTTGATGCCCCTTTGTTGACCTGAGATGACTCCTAAAAACCCACCTTGATGCCCCTTTGGTGACCTGAGATGACTCCTAAAGACCCTCTTTGATGACCTGAGATGACCCTTAAAGATCCTCCTTGATGACTCCTAAAGACCCTCCTTGATGCCTCTTTGATGACCTGACATGACCTTTAAAGATCCTCCTTGATGCCCCTTTGATGATGAAATGACCCCTAAAGACCCTCCTTGATGCCCCTTTCATGACTTGAGATGACCCTTAAAGACACTCCTTGATGACCCCCAAAGACCATCCTTGATGCCCGCTTTGATGACCCGAGATGACCTCAAAAGATCCCCTTGATTGCCCCTTTTAATGAGCTGAGATGACCTTTAAAGACCCTCCCAGATACCGCTTTGATGACCCAAGACAACCCTTAAGACCCTCCTTCATGCCCCCAATATGGTGACCTGAGATGACCCTTAAAGACACTCCTCGATGCCCCTTTGATGACCAGAGATGTCATCAAAGACCCTCTTTGATGACTTGAGATGACCCCTAAAGACCCTCTTCGATGCCCCCTTGGTGACCCCTAAAGACCCTCTTTGATGACCCCTAAAGACCCTCTTTGACGACCTGAGATGACCCTTAAAGATACTCCTTGATGACCCCTAAAAATTCTCCTTGATGCCCCTTTGATGATCCGAGATGACCCCTAAAGACCCTCCTTGATGCCTTTGATGACCTGAGATGACCCCTTAAGACCCTCCTTCATGCTCCCAATATGGTGGCCTGAGATGACCCTTAAAAACCTTCCTTGACGCCCCTTTGATGACTTGAGATGGCCCCTAAAGACCCTCTTTGATGACTTGAGATGACCCCTAAAGACCCTCCTTGATGCCCCTTTGATGCTCCATTGATGACCCCTAAAGACCCTCTTTGATGACCTGAGATGACCCTTAAAGATACTCCTTGATGACCCCTAAAAACTCTCCTTGATGCCCCATTGATGATCCGAGATGACCCCTAAAGACCCTCCTTGATGCCTTTGATGACCTGAGACGACCCCTTAGGACCCTCCTTGATGCCCCTTTGGTGACCTGAGATGACCCTTAAAGACCATCCTTGATGCCCCTTTGTTGACCTGAGATGACTCCTAAAAACCCTCCTTGATGCCCCTTTGGTGACCTGAGATGATTCTTAAAGACCATCCTTGATGCCCCTGAAGACCTGAGATGACCCTTAAAGACCCTCTTTGATGCCCCCTTTGATGACCTGAGATGACCCCAAAAGACCCTCCTTGATGCTCCTTTGATGACTTGAGATGACGCTTAAAGATCCTCCTTGATGACCCCCCAAAACCATCCTTTATGCCCCTTTGATGACCTGAGATGACCCTTAAAGACCCTCTTTGATGCCCCCTTTGATGACCTGAGATGACCCCAAAAGACCCTCCTTGATGCTCCTTTGATGACTTGAGATGACGCTTAAAGATCCTCCTTGATGACCCCCCAAAACCATCCTTGATGCCCCTTTGATGACCTGAGATGACCCCTAAAGACCCTCTTTGATGACCCCTAAAGACCCTCCTTGATGCCTTTGATGACCTGAGATGACCTTTAAAGACCCTCCCAGATGCCCCTTTGATGACCCAAGATGACCCCTTAAGACCATTCTTCATGCCCCCAATATGGTGACCTGAGAGGACCCCTAAAGACCCTCTTTGATGAGCTGAGATGACCCTTAAAGATACTGCTTGATGACCACAAAAAACCTTAATGCCCCTTTGATGACCCAAAATGACCCCTAAGGACCCTCCTTGATGCCTTTGATGACCTGAGATGACCTCTTAAGACCCTCCTTGATGCCCCCAATTTGGTGACCCGAGATGACCCTTCTGATGCCCGAGGATGCCCCCTTTGATTCCCCTTAGATGCTCCCCAATGCCCGTCTTTCCTGCCCCGAGACCCCCCAATCGGGGTGCCCCCCCCCTGAGAGACTTACTTCCGGTGGAGGAGGAGGAGCGCCTCTGCCCGGGGGCCGCGGGGGGGTGCTGGTTCTCGGACCCCGCTGTTGATCCCGTTGCCGCCGGGAGAGGGGGCGGTGGGGGCGGAGGGCAGCCCCCCTCGGGCAGTGGGGGAGGGGGCGGTGGGGGCAGTGGTGGGGGCTCCTCCGTGGGGGAGGGGGGCGCCTGCCCCTCCGAGGAACAGGGCGAAGGGGAGGGAGGGGGCGAGGCGGGGCTGCCGTTCTGCTGCACAGCGTCCTCCTTGGACAGGAGAGAGGCCTGCGAGGAGGAAGAGGAGGAGGAAGAGGGGACAGTGTCAGCGGAAAACTACACCTCCCATGGAAACTAGAACTCCCCAGAAAATATAACTCTCAAGGAAACTATAACTCCCCAGAAACTATAACTCTCGGGAAAACTATAACTCCCCAGAAACTATAACTCTCAAGGAAACTAGAACTCCCCAGAAACTACACCTCCCATGGAAACTGTAACACCCCAGAAAATATAACTCTCAAGGAAACTAGAACACCCCAGAAAATATAACTCTCGGGAAAACTATAACTCCCCAGAAACTATAACTCTCTGGAAACTATAACTCTCAGGGGAGCTATAACTTCCCAGAAACTATAACTCTCAGGATAACGATAACTCCCTAGAAACTATAACTCTCAGGAAAACTATAACTCCCCGGAAGCTATAACCCCTGGAGAAACTATAACTCTCAGGGAAACTATAACTCTCAGGGACATTAAAACTCCCTAGAAGCTATAACTCTTGGAGAAACTATAACTCTCAGGGAAACTATAACTCTCAGAGACTATAACTCTCGGGAAAACTATAACTCCCCAGAAACTTTAACTCTCAAGGAAACTATAACCCCCCAGAAAATATAACTCTCGGGAAAACTATAACTCCCCAGAAACTATAACTCTCAAGGAAACAATAATTCTCAGGGAAACTATAACTCTCTGGAAACTATAACTCTCTGGAAACTATAACTCTCAGGGGAACTATAACTTCCCAGAAACTATAACTCTCAGGAAAACTATAACTCCCCAGAAGCTATAACTCTTGGAGAAACTATAACCCTCAGGGAAACTATAATTCCCCAGAAACTTTAATTCCCCAGAAACTATCACTCCCCAGAAACTATAACTCTCAGGGACATTAAAACTCCCCAGAAGCTATAACTCTCAGGGAAACTATAACTCCTCAGAAACTATAACTCTCAGGAAAACTATAATTCCCTGGAAACTATAATTCTCAGGGAAACTGTAACTCCCAGGGAAACTATAGTTTTCAGCAAAAAAAAAACTTTAACGTGCAGCAAGACTACAACTCCCAGGGAAAACTACAACCTCCCAGGAAAAACCACATATCCCAGGGAGACTATTATACCATAACTCCCATTTTCCTGGGAGTTGTAGTTTTCCTGGGACCTACTGTTTCACTGGGAGTGCTCTCTGGATGCAGGAAAACTACAACTCCCAGGGAAATGGGAGTTCTAGTATAATTTCCTGGGGAAAGTACGTCTCCCAGGGGAACTACATCTCACCTCCTCGCTGTGCGCCATGCTGCCTTGCTCCCCGGCGCTCCCCAGGTGTTTGTAGTAGTCTCCGGTGCTGGGCTGCTTGTTGAAGTTCCGGGATTTCCGGCTCGAGTCGACGCGGCGGAGTTCGGGGCTGCCTTCCAGCGAAGTGAGCTGAAGGAGAGGAGACCCCAAAAAGGGAGTTTTAGCACACAAAGGACTTGGGCACAAGGACCCCGGTGTGCTACGTCTCCCAGCAGAAGCCCATTCCACAGAACTGAAGCAGCAAAAAATAATAGTAATAATAATTGCAAAAAAATATAGTAATAATAATTGCAAAAAATAATAGTAATAATAATTGCAAATAATAATAATAATAATAATAATTGCAAAAATAATGGTAATAATAATTGTCAAAAATAATATTAATAATAATTGCAAAAAATAATAGTAATCATAATTGCAAAAATAGTAATAATGCAAAAAATATAATAGTAATAATAAATGCAAAAAATAATAGTAATAATAACTGCAAAAAATAATAGTAATAAGATTTGCAAAATAATAGTAATCATAATTGCAAAAAATAATAGTAATAATAACTGCAAAAAAATAATAGTAATAATAATTGCAAAAAATAATGGTAATAACAATTGCAAAAATAATGGTAATAATAATTGCAAAAAATAATGGTAATAATAATTGCAAAAAATGATAGTAATAATAATTGCAAAAATATAATAGTAATAATAATTGCAAAACAATAATAGTAATAATAATTGCAATAAATATAATAGTAATAATAATTGCAAAAAATAATAGTAATAATAAATGTGAAAAAATAATAGTAATAATAATTGCAAAAAATATAATAGTAATAATAATTGCAAATAATAATAATAATAATTGCAAAAAATAATAGTAATGATAATTGCAAAATAATAATGGTAATAATAATTGCAAAAAATAATAGTAATCATAATTGCAAAAAAATAATAGTCATAATAATTGCAAAAAATAATGTTCACAACTATAGAGCAAGGACAATGTCAGATACAAAAGTTACTTTTGAAAAAGTTACATTTTGGAGCCAGTTTTGGGAGGAATAAAGTGGATTTCCCACCCCCAAAATCCAAAGCAGAGAGATTTGGGTCCAAGCAACAGCGGTGTCAGATGAAAAAGTTACTTTTTGGAAAAGTTACTTTTTTGGAGCCAGTTTTGGAGGAATATGATGGATTTCCTGTCCCCAAAATCCAAAGCAGAGAGATTTGGGTCCAAGCAACGGCGGTGTCAGATGAAAAAGTTACTTTTTTGAAAAGTTACTTTTTTGGAGCCAGTTTTGGGAGGAATAAAGTGAATTTCCCGTCCCCAAAATCCAAAACAGAGAGATTTGGATTCAGCAACAGCGGTCTGGAGGATTAACGTGGACAGCTTATCCCGTTCTCTCTCTCGTGGCCCTTAAGGAAACAAAGGGGCCCTTTGGGGCAAATGGGCTTAATGCAAAGCCAGGATTTGGTTAATGCAGACGACGTAAAGAACACACTCCGAAGCTGGCGCTTTTCTCCGGACATCAACCCAATGGCCATTGCAGGACTACAAGGAACCAGTCATCGAAGTATAGAAGGGAAAGACTCAATGGGAAATGAAGGGACGGGAGCCCCAAAGGTCATCTATACCAACCCTCTGCCCACTGCAAGGACTGAGATGCATTATCACCATCGTTATCATCCTTTATGCATCATCATCATCATCACTCCATGACAATGTCTCCTTATTATTAATATGATAATGTATCTCATTATTATTATTATTATTATTATTATTATGTATCTTATTATTATGATAATGATCTCATTATTATTATTATTTATCTTATTAGTAATATTTATTTATTTATTATTCGAACTTATATGCCGCCACTCCCCTGGGGCTCGGAGCGGCTTACAAATAATGTATCTCATTATTATTATTATTATTATTATTATTATTATTATGTATCTTATTATTAATATGATAATGTATCTCATTATTATATATCTTACTATTAATATGATAATGTATCTCATTATTATTATTATGTATCTTATTATTAATATGATAATGTATCTCATAATTATTATGTATCTTATTATTATGATAAATATCTCATTATTATTTTTATGTGTCTTATTATTATTATGCATCTCATTATTATTATGTATCTTAATATAATTGTTCTCATTATTATTATCTTATTATGATAATGTAACTATTATTAATATGTATCATTATTAATATAATGTATCTAATTATTATTATGTATCTTATTATTCATATGATAATGTATCTATTATTATCTTATTATTATAATTATCTCATTACTACTTTTATGTATCTTATTATTAAGATAATGTATCTCATTATTATTATTATGTATCTTATTAATATGATAATGTATCTCATTATTATGGCTATGTATCTATTATTATGATAACATAGATCATTATTATTATTATTATTATTATGTAATTATTATGGCAAGGTATCTCATTATGTATCTTATTATTAACATGATAACATATTTCATTATATTATGTATCTTATTATTATGATAATGTATCTCATTATTATTATTATATTATGTATCTATATATATCTCATTAATATAATGTATCTCATTACTATTATTATTATGTATCTTATTATTATGATAATGTATCTTATTAATATAATGTATCTCATTACTATTATTATGTATCTTATTATTATGATAATGTATCTCATTATTACTATTATTATTATGTATCTTATTGTTAATATGATAATGTATCTCAGTCCTTGCAGTGGGCAGAGGGCTGGTATAGATGACCTTTGGGGCTCCCATCCCATTCTTAAGATCCTATTAATATATATATATGGATCATCATCATTATTATATCTATCTATACGCATAAGAAAAGTGAAAATATGTATAAGTTGCGTAAATAAATAAAATGTATTATTATTATCATTATTATTTATATGTTTATATGATTATAATACAATATGAAATCCCAGGCATCCCAGTGTTCCTTACTCTCTCCATTGGCACCATATATATATCATATATAATAATATAATTATAATATAATTATATATCATATATAATATGATATATAATATGATATATATATCATATTATATATTATATTAAATATTACATTATATTATAATATGCAATCTATACACATAATAAAAGTGAAAATATGTATAATAATAACTCCAATATGCTGATGATAACGTAGTCTGTGCGCATTCAGAAGATCTACAAGCCACTCTAAACACATTTGCAGAAGCATACGAGAAAACCATTGAACATCAAGAAAACCAAAGTGCTCTTCCAGCAGTCACTAGCCAATCCCATAGAACTCCAATATGCCGATGATAACATAGTCTGTGCGCATTCAGAAGAAGACCTACAAGCCATTCTAAATACGTTATAGCGAGCACCATGAACATGTCCAAGAGCCCTGCCCAGCACCCAAGGGAAACCTTTCATCCAGGGACAATTCCATTCTAAATTTCATGCGCTTCCTCCACTACAGACATCCCAGTGTTCCCTTTTCTCTCCATTGGCACCATGAACATGTCCCTGTCAATGGCCTCCACAGACACCACACTGCCCACCACCCAAGGGAAGGCTTTCATTCAGGTATAATTTCACCCTAGGTTATATGTGCTTCCTCCACCACAGGCATCCCACTGTTCCTTACTCTCTCCATTGGCACCATGAACATCTCCAAGAGCCCTTCCAATGTCCTCCACCAACATCACACTGCCCACCACCCAAGGAAAGGCTTTGATACGGGGACAATTCCATCCTAGATTTCACGCATTTCCTGCACCACAGACATCCTAGGGTTCCTTACTCTCTCCATTGGCACCACGAACATGTCCCTGTTAATGTACTCCACAAACACCAAACTGCCCACTACCCAAGGGAAGGCTTCCATTCAGGGGCAATTTCACTCTAGATTATATGTGCTTCCTCCACCACAGACATCCCAGTGTTCCTTACTCTCTCCATTATCCAAGAGCCCTGCCAATGTCATCCACCAAAACCACACTGCCCACCACCCAAGGGAAGCCTTTCATACGGGGACAATTCCATCTTAGATTTCATGCGTTTCCTCCACCACAGGCATCCCACTGTTCCTTACTCTCTCCATTGGCACCATGAACATCTCCAAGAGCCCTGCCAATGTCCTCCACCAACACCACACTGCCCAGCTCCCAGGGACAATTTCCTCCTAGATTTTATGTGCTTCCTCCACCACAGACATCCCAGTGTTCCTTACTCTCTCCATTGGCACCATGAACATGTCCCTGTCAACGTCCTCCACAAACACCACACTGCCCAGCACCCAAGGGAAGGCTTTCATTCGGGGACAATTTCACCCTAGATTATATGTGCCTCCTCAACCAGGCATCCAGGCATCCCAGTGTTCCTTTCTCTCTCCATTGGCACCATGAACATGTCCATCCACCAACAGCACACTACCCACCACCCAAGGGAAGGATTGCATTCTGGGACAATTTCCAGATAATAATAATAATAATAATAATAATAATATTATAACAGGACGGATGGGGGCATTGGATAAGGCCATAGAACTGTGGAAAGGGTTCCCCGGAGGTCATCTAGTCCAACCCTTGCAATGCCTTTCAAGCCAAATCTAGGGCGGCTTTGAGACGCCCGTCATCGCTATCTTTTATATCCGAAGAAAAGCGTATTATTATCCTTATTAACCTATAGGAAGCCTTTGGGGCCTCAAACCACCCCATGATAGGGAGACGTGGAGGTGGACTGCTCCTGGCCACGGAGGTTTCGCTCGATGCGCCAGGACCGGCTCGGCTTGTAAATCATAATATTCCATCTGTGCTTTTGGGGTTGGACTAGATGGCCTTTGGGGGCCCCACCCCACTCACACGGAGGCCAAATTCCACTCTGGCTTTGACTTTGGAGTTTGCTCCTTCCTTGCAAAGAGGAAGTGGGTCCTCTGGGTTCGAGAGACAAGGAAGAATGTCCTGGGAGGGCCCTCTGCCGGGAGGGATCGAGCTGTGCCTTCCTGCATGACAAAGAGTTAGGATCTCATACAACGCTATGGCATTTGCGCCCCTGCAAAAACAATGTGTACCGCGACCGCTTACTTTGC